GCTCCTTCTGCCCCCTGGTGCTTCCCCAGGCGGCCTCGTGTGGCGTGATGTGCCCCTCCTCTTGGGACTGTAAGTAATAAAACTTCTTTCTTTTTTTCTTTTTTAAAAGTATATCTTTATTGATTTCAGCGAGAGTAAGGGAGAGGGAGAGAGAAACATCAGTGATGAGAGTCATTGATCGGCGGCCTCCTGCACGCCCCGCACTGGGGATCGAGCCTGCAACCCGGGCCTGTGCCCTGACTGGGAATCAAACGGCGATCTCCTGGGTCCTAGGTCGATGCTCAATCTCTGAGCCACGCCGGCCAGGCAATAAAACTTCTTTCAATGGCATTGGCCTCACTGTCTCATCACTGGGTCACCTCTATGAATTAAATCCCAGGTACCATCAAAACACTGAACGATGGACCATTAGAGGTTTTCGGTTTTTCACCGTTACAGAAAGAGCTGCAGTGGTTACCTTTATATATGCATCCGAGTGTGTTGCTGTGGGAGTGGCAATTACCTAATTACTCATTGATCTCCATGGGCCATGCCGCTCCTCAGCCCAGCCCCTGCTCCCCTTGCCTCGTAGGTGTCACAGCTCCTGAATCGCAGAGTGAATGAGACTTGTCCTCAGGAGGTCCTGGAATGGTTTGGTAAGCACCAAAGAGGCTCCGTGTTGTAAAACATCTTCCCTGTCATCGGTCCACCCTGTTCCCTGAATTTCCTCCCCTTTGAGTCTTAGCGTCAGCCAGTCAAGAGCAATTTCCTGCCCTGGGCGGTTTGGCTCAGTGGTTGGAGCATCGGCCAGGGGACTGAAGGGTCCCAGACTAGACTCTGGCCAAGGACACATACCTGGGTTGCAGGCTCAATCCCTGGCCCTGGTCGGGGCACATGCGGGAGGAAACCAATCAATGTGTTTCTATCACATCGATGTTTCTCTCTCTCTTTATCTCCCTTCCACTCTCTGAAAAGCGATGGAAAAAATATTCTCCAGTGAGGATTAAAAAAAGAAAAGCGATTTCCTTGGGAAGTAGCCAGAAAGTCAGCACGAGCCCTGTCAGAGTCATGCTGCATGGAAAGAACATGGATTTGGGGGTCAGAAGATCTGTCTGCATGGTGTAGGGCAAGTGACTTCACCTCTCTGAGTCTTGGTTTCCTCACCTCCCAGAGCGACTGTCAGAATATATGCAATCCGTATAATAATAAAATAATGTATTAAAGCCCTTCGTGCACACACAGGTGCTAAAAACAAAAACAAAGCGTGCTGTGTATTACCCACGTGCCCCACCAGATTGGCCCTCCCTCCTCCACCCAGGGAAGCACCTGGGCTTCTCTGCTCTCTGGCTTCCACTTGGGTTTGCTCAGTGGAAACACTGGCAAAAGACTGGTGTGTAAAGGAAGAGAGAGGAGACAGGTTGCCCTGGCTCCCTCCTGCCCTCTGGGCCGAGCTGACTGTGTTCAGTTCTACCTAAGGCCACAGCTTCCTCCTGGAGCTACAGCTGTCACCACTCCTTCCCCTCGCCCCTCAGGCTAAGGGTGGCCAGGGCTTCCTGCTGTTGCTGGTCCCTGGGTGCCCCTCCAGCCCTTTACCCTGCCAACCCCTTGAGAGATGAAGGCCGTTCATTAAACCCTCTCCAGTTGCCTGTTCCAATGAGCCATCTGGTTCCTGCTGGGACCCTGACTGAAGCAAGGAGCCAGTTCCCCTATTTTTATCAAGGTGCCTTCTCTGTCCCTCACCCCAGCTGCAGAAAGAAGGTCCCTGAAGGTCTTGGGAAATCAGTCTCCAGAGGTGTGGAGTAAGACCCCAGCTGAGCGGAGAGGCCTGGGACGCGAGTGTCTGCAGAGCTGCCTGCCCAGCTGAGCGCCAAGGTAGCAGCCCTGATGCCCCCCTTCTTCCTCCTGAACTTCCCAAGATCCGGGTCTTGTCTGCCCAACCCCCTTGGCCCAGCCCAGGGGCCAGGCTCTGCGACCCTGACTCACACTCGTGAACCCACCGAAAGCAGCATATTCATTGATCCTGAGAGAGGTGGAGGCTGCTCAGGAGGTTCTCTTTCAGGAATTGGTAGTAATAATAACAGTGACCAGATACTGAGCACCTACGATGTGTCTCTAGAGCTTTACTAGCGCTGTACTAGAACTTCTGCACACTCATTCAGCAAGTATTTGTTAAGGGTCTACTCTATGCCGGTACTATCCTAAGCCCTGGGATACGGCGACAAAGACAACAGGCAAGGATGGGCAACTGCAGCCTAGTTTGTCCTTGAATAAGGATATTAAGGTCCAGAAACGCCAAGGGCACCCAGCTGGTAAGTGGCTGAGCCAGGGCTCAAACCCAGGCTTCCCAGCAGGCACCATCATCTCAGAAAGTTATAGCTGGATCAGGTGGCACCTTGGGGAGAGAAAAATCCAACTCTCCGTAGAGAGAGGACCTGTGAGGACGATGCCCTGAGCTCAGGGAGGGGGTGCAAGGCGCCCATCTGTATTCCAGATGCCTGCAGTGACTAAAATATAGGGTCAGGGGCCCAGGGTGACACAGCCAGGGAAGGATGCTCTGTGAAATGATGCTCCTAGTTATTACTTGTTTGTAATTTCCTTCTTGACGTAAAATTTGTGAGTCATGGTCTCAGAACATGTCGAGATTTCACAATCCACACAGATGATTGCAGACACCATTATGTCTCCTGCCAGCACATTCTTAACAGCCATCCCCACTCCCCATACCCAACCTCCCGTTGGGACATGGAAGATTTATTCCGGAAAGTTGGTAGAAGCGAGGGAGGGGAAGGTAAGCACAAGGCCCTGTGCGCTACTCAAGGGGCAGTTGTGCCAAGGGTCTGGAATGGCTGAGCGGCTGGCCAGAGCTGCCCCTCCCGAGCACAGGCAGACATCCATTTCGCTGAGCACCTACTATGGGCAGATAGTGGATTAGACAAAGTTGGGCAATGGTTAAAGCCACACACCTTGGATCGACTGGATTTCAATTCCAGCTCTCCCGCTTTCTGGCTGTGTGGCTTCAGGCAAGTCAGTTCACCTCTCTGAGCCTGAGTTTCCTCACTTGTGAAATGGTGGAAATCATGTCTGCCTGAGAGGGTTGCTAGGACAATTAAATGTAGCAACCCATCTGAATGCTTAGAAAAGAACAGGACATCGTGAGTGTGCAGAAAGGGTTACCATTATCACGTGCAAGTAGGGAAATGGGGCTATGCGCCCATCGTGCGTATGTTTATAATAATTCAACTGTAACGCACATGGGTACTCGCAGTATCGGCTTTACCCCTCACATGTTGCCCTTTAGCATTCGCGCAGCCCCATCAGCATCGATCACTAGGCACTCGCCTCCTGAGGTCTCCCTTAAACATCCTCTCGGTTCAAATCTCGCCTCTTCAGAGGAGCTTCTCCAGCTGCCCAGTCTTATCAGAAATGTGCTGTCTCTACGTCGCCACCCTTTCTGTTTTCATCATCGACCTCACCATTCTCTGACATCTTCCCACTGATGGATTTGTTACCTGTTTATTGGCTTCTCCCGTAAAAACCTAAGTTTCCACAAGAGCAGGAACCTGACATCCTGGTCCCTCCTCAATTCTCAAAGCCAAGCACTCTGCCTGGCACATCACAGGCGCTTAAAAAAATTGTTCAAAGAACAACTAACACATCTGATCTTCCCAGCAGCCCTCTCTAGGCCCCAGGGCCTCCTTTTACAGAGGGAGGTGACTGAGGCTCAGAGAGGCGGGTGGTTGGATGCTGAGCCTCAGGCTCGCTAATCTTCGGGTTGGCTCCAGTCTGTATCTAGCTGTGCCCAGAGAGTGACAGGACGGGATGCGGCGGTGACTGTCAGATGTGGCCTTCAGAACTCTGCCCCCCGCCGCGCTCCTGGGCACATGGTGTAGATATGGCATCTGGCTTGAGGAGGAGGCCTGGCTCCTAATTCGATCACTGGTGCCTGGGGTCACCGTGAATGGGCTGCTTCTGGCTTTTAGCCTCAGTCTCCAGTCTTCTATCTGGGAAATGAAAGGGGTAGTGTAGATCGGAGGGTGGGTTTTTTGTTTTTATGTTTTTATCCCGCACCCAACTGGGGATTGGACCTGCAACCTAGGTATGTGCCCTGAGTGGGAATCGAACCAGTGACCTTTCAGTGCACAGGATGACGCTCAGCCAACTGAGCCACACCGGCCAGGCCTGATTTTTTTGTTTTGCTTGAACTGAGGTACAATTCACATACCATAAAAGATCAAGGTTTTTAAACTTTCTTTTGTTGCAGAATCTTTTTTCCTAAAATTAATTTTATATGAAGATCCAATATGTACACCAGATAAAAGGGGGTCTTTGGAGGAGTGGAGGGGGTGGCTTGAGAACCCGGCCTGCTTAGTGTACCCCTTGCTTCCACCAGGCTCGCCAACCCTCACCCTCAGTAGTCCCTGAGGCACTTCCACAGAATCCCAGGGCTTGGAGGAACCCAGTTTGAAAACCACTAGACAAGAGTCACTCTTTAGGGTCCCTCCCAAGGTGCAGGATCCCTGGGGAATGGTGGGGAGCCCCTGCTTCACCCAACTTGCAGATGAGAGTTGATCCTTGAGCAGCTGTCCAGCTGTGTCCCGAGGGTCATGAGAAAGAAGGCAAGGGCAGGCTCAGGGCGCAGGAAGTAGAGCCGGCCAGCTGGGAGGCAGTGACAGGCGCGGGTACCCTGGCCTCCTGGATGGGCTGGTGACATCACAACCCCAGGAAGCAGCTGCCTGAGAGGCCCTCGCTGTCCCCCAGCCCTTCTCTGGGAAAATCAGCCACCAGCTGTTGCAGTCCTCTTCTCGCTCTCTTGCTGCTCTGGATTGTCCCCTCCTGATTCATCATCTTCAACAGCAGCAGCCACTTCCTTTTGTGAACAACCTACTAAGCGCCAGAACTGCACCATCCTTTATGGAACAGCTTGTGAGCGTGTGCATTCCCTCATATCATTTAATTCAGACATCGCACCAACGTTATGGAGTAGGGATCAGTACCATCCCCATTTTACAGACAGTGAAACTGAGGCTCAGAGGGGCATGACAGATCGCACAGGTTCCCCCAACTGCTAGATGCCACAGCCAGGATTTGCACCTGGTTCTAACTGACTGATTCAAAGCAAAACAAAGCCAGGTGGAGATTTCTTCCTACATGGCAAAGTAAATTTCAAAGGCAGTTTTGTTTTGTTTTAATTAATGGTGATTCCTGGCCTATTATCCAGGCCCAGTCGTTGGATGCATGGAAAGGGCTTGGCACGCTACAGATGTTAGCTGTTACTATGACTCTCCCCATTTTACAAAGAACAAAACTAAGGCTCAGAGGAGCAAAGTCAATTAATCAAGACCATAGAACAGGTGGGTGCCAAAGCCAGGTCTGTGTGACCCCAAAGTCAAAGCTGTTTCTCTCTGAGCCCTGAACTTCCTAGCCAGGATTCTCCTCCGGCTCAGCCCGTCTCCTAGGGCCGCCATAACAAACTTGGGGACTTAAAACAACAGAAATGTATTCTCTCACTGTTTGGGAGGCCAGCAGGCCAAAGCCGAGGTGTCAGGAGGCTGGTTCCCTCTGGAGGCTCTCAGGGAGAGCCCGTCCCATGCCTCTAGCTTGCGGTGGCTGCAGAGGTCCTTGCTGCTCCTTGGCTTGGAGCTTCAAGATGCCAGTCTCTGCCTCTGTCTTCCCTGGCCCTCTTCCCTCTGCGTCCCAGATCTCACTTTCCTTTCTCTTATAGGGACACTAGTTCTTGGATTTAGGGTTCACCCTAAATACAGGATGTTCTCATTTTGAGGTCCTTTTTTACATCTGCAAATACTCTATTTCTAAATAAGGTCACACACACAGGTACCAGAGTAAGAACTTGGGCAGATCTTCTTAGGGGGCATAATTCAACCCACTACGTCACCAGGCCATTCAGCAAATCTTCACTGAGCACGAACAACGTGCCAGCCAGGGACAGAGCAGGCTCAGGCCTTAATGCTGCCCACACTCTAGTGGGAAAGGCGGACGGGACACATAACGGTGGAGTGGTGGTTTTGTTTTTTATAATCTCACCGAGGATATTTTTTCCATTCCTTTTCAGAGAGAGTGGAAGGGACGGGAGGAGAGAGAGAAACATTGATGTGAGAGACACGTCAATTGGTTGCCTCCCACACATGCCCCGACTGGGGCTGGGGATCAAGCCTGCAACCAGTGGAATGGTTTAAAACTAAGTATAGAAATAAAGACTATGCACCTACAAAAGAGCGCAAATAATATTTGGGATGGGGTGAAGTAGGGAGCCTGATGGTTGTCCTAGCAGGCAATAGCTGTTTATTAAGCACCTACTATGTGCAAAGTACTTTAGGGAAATATATATA